AGCTGGGTCATGAAACGTCTGCAAGAAAACCACCCAGCTCAGAGAGCTCCAAGCACCAAAAAAAAAACCACATGTACCCCCCACCCCCGCCATCCTAAACGGCCCACTTGAAGACTCAAGGTTTCCGAAACATCTCTGACCACCCCCAGCTCTAAAAATCAAACCAAATCCCCCCCCCCCCAAAAAAAGAGCCACAGAAAAGTTTTTTCCTTCTCCTTCGGCTGGCAGCCTGCACCCCCCCCCTTCCCCGGGCGATGGAGAAATTTCCTGTGTCGAGAAACGCCCCCCAACCCACCCACCCGAGGGGGTGGGGGGCTGAGGGGCGAAGGGGGGTTGGGGGGGGGGGAAACGGTGCAGCCGCCGGTGTCGCCTCCCCCTTTCCTGAGGCGGATCCGGGGGCCGAATCCTGCCTCTTTTTCTTCTCCAGGGGGCAGAGACCAGGAAACGGTCCCCGACGCTGAGCAGCCAGTTCAAGCGCTCGCTGGAGCTGCTGATGCGCACGCTGGGGGTCTGCCAGCCCTTCTTCGTCCGGTGCATCAAGCCCAACGAGTACAAGAGGCCCATGGTGAGTGGGGGGGGGGGGGGGGGGGGGGGGGGGGGGGGGGGGGGGGGGGGGGGGGGGGGGGGGGCAGGGGGGGGCGGGGAGCCTCCTTGGCGACGTTTCCTGGCAGGGACCCCGCTTACGGCGGAACTCCAAGGGGGTGTGCTTGATTTCCCCTTCTCTTTCCTTCCCTTCCTTTCCCTTCCTCCTTTCCTTTACTTTCCCCGTCCCTTTCTTTCCTTCCCTTCCTCCTTTCCTTTCCTTTCCCCTTCCCTTTCTTTCCTTCCCTTCCTCCTTTCCTTCCCTTTCCCTTTCTTTTCTTCCCTTCCCTTCCTCCTTTCCTTTCCTTCCTCCTTTCCTTTCTTTGCCCCTTTCCTTTCTTTCTTCCCTTCCCTTCCTCCGTCCCTTCCCTTCCTCCTTTCCTTTCGTTTCTTTCCCTTTCCTTTCTTCTTTCCTTCCCCTTCCTTCCTCCTTTCCTTTCCCCGTCCCTTTCTTTCCTTCCCTTCGTTTCCTCCTTTCCTTTCCTTTCCTTTCCTTTCCGTTCCTTCCCCTTCTCTTTTTTCCCTTCCCTTCCTCCTTTCCTTTCCCTTCCTTTCCTTTCCTTTCCTTTCTTTCCTTCCTTCCTTCCTTCCTCCTTTCCTTCCTCCTTTCCTTTCCTTTCCCTTTTCCCTTCCCTTCCCTTCTCTTCCCTTCCCTTCCCTTTCCTTCCTCCTTTCCTTTCCCCTTCTCTTTCTTCCCTTCCTTTCCTTTCCTTTCCTTTCCTTTCCCCTTCCCTTTCTTTCCTTCCCTTTCCTTCCTCCTTTCCTTTCCCCTTCTCTTTCTTCCCCTTCCTTCCTCCTTTCCTTTCCCCTTCATGTCACTAGGGGATGACATGAGAACATCTTTCAATATTTGAGGGGCTGCCCCAAACAAGAGGCAGTCAAGCTATTCTCCAAAGCCCCTGAAGAGGCAGGACAAGAAGCAACTGATGGAAACTCATCAAGGAGAGAAGCAACCTGGAATTAAAGGAGAAACTTCCTAAGAACAATTAAACAGTGGAACAACTTGCCACCAGAAGTTGTAGATGCTCCAACACTGGAGGCTTTTTAAAAGATGTTTGTCTGAAGTGGTGTAGAGTTTCCTGTCTAAGCAGGGGTTGGACTAGAAGACCTCTAAGGCCCCTTCCAACTCTGTTATTCTATACTGTCCAAAATTCCCATCCTGCAGAGCCTTTGATGGTGAAATAAGAAATTAGCCAAGTCAGTGAAAACTAAAGCAAAAACAATTCTTTGGAAAGGCTGAAACCTCTGTGAGTAAATGCTAAGAAGGACAGGAAGCAGAGATTCAGGAAACCAAAATAAAGAGTGGAAAATATCTGTTTCTCACAAAGTGACATTGCACGGAAGGGATTATATTGCTCTGTGGTTAATACAAAGGAAACAGAGGTTTATTATTATTATCGTTATTATTATTTAGGTGCTTTTGTCTTCTTCCTGAAAGTGAATCTTCTTGGTACATATTGTTTTTTGGAACAAGTGCAGAGGAAAAGTTATTTTAAAAAGGATTATTGGAGGAAGTGTGAACCAATGGATAGAGCCAAAAAGATAAATAAAGTAGATAGAACTGGCCTTGTGAATTAATCTTGGCTGGCTGAGGATTTCTGGGATTTGAAGTCCATGAGTCTTAAAGTTTAGAGATGCCTTAACAGACTTAACAAATAATCAGAGTTGGAAGGGACTTTATAGGTCATCTAGTCCAACCCCCCGCCCAAGCAGGAGACCCATTTCTGACAGATGGGAGTCCAGTCTCTTCTTGAAAGTCTCAAGTGATGAAGCTCCCACAACTTCCGAAGGCAACTTCTCTTCCATGGGTTGATTGTTCTCCCTGTCAGAAAATTTCTCCTTATTTCCAGGTTGAATCTCTCCTTGTTCAGTTTCCATCCATAGTTCCTTGTCTGGCCTACAAGCGCCTGTTTTAGTTCCTTTGTTCCCTCGGGTTGAAATCGTCCTATATGCCCATCGTACTTCTGCCAACAAGAGGTTCTTCAGCCTGTTTTAATCTTTGTAAACTACATTTCCCTCAGATGACTTGGGAGAATCGGGCGGATCTTATCAGGAAGTAGCTCGAAACCCGTGGTTCGCTCCGAAACTATGTGATCGGGCTTAGTTTGGGGGGGAAGAAAATAAGGAGAAAAAAAAAAATTCTGCCTCTGCCTACCAGCAACCATCGGTATTCATCTGGCTAGTGTCCTGTCAGTGTGTCTGAGAGAGTTGAGGGCTGTTTGGAAACTGAAAGAGTATTTGCTGTTTGAGCAAGAAGGAGACAGCAAGGAGCCTGGGCGTGGCTTAGCTCAACTGTTCTGTACTAAAGCTGCTTGCTGCTGTGAAACTAAAACTGAAACTCCTCTGCTTGTGTTTTGTATTTGAAACAGATTTCTTTCCAGGTGGGGAGTAGAACTCCTTAGCATCAGAGCGCGTTAATAATAATAATAATAATAATAATAATAATAATAATAATAATAATAAT